TCTTTTTGTTGTCAAAATGATAGATACAAATACAATAGTATCGAATAATGGCTTTAAAAAATTTCAAGTGGGTATTTTTTTATTTACAAGAGATACTCAAAGTGCATTCCAATGCAGAAAGGAATAACGGAACGGAACAATAACGGAAAGGAAATAACGAGGTTAAACAATCAGAATGATTTCGTTTCGCTTTTTTGTACTAGCGAGGCTCCTTATGGTAAAATTTTATTCTTTCGCAACCACAGCAGAATATATAAGTATATAAGGATGTATTTAAATAATAAAATGTGTACAGTTTGTGATATTCCGAAGTCAAGAAATAAGATCTTAACAAGAAACGGATCTTATTTAAACCATCACTAATCAACATAAGCAAGAAAGAAGTAAAGCTAGATATTTACTGATCTTTGTATAATAACTATACTAATTAATCAAAATAACACGTAGCGATCAAAATCAATTATGACTTTGAATTAAATTTGATTTGTGCATTGATATCATTTAACATAGAATATTTTATATAACCACGACTATTAATTTTTCTATATTTTCTGTATATTCTACTAATACTAATAATTGCATCACTTCAACTATTCTATTGTACACTGAAGATGGTCATATTTAGGACCGAAACGTTTGTAATTACTTATGATAATATATTAATTTTCACTAACTAAAACTAGTGTGTGGCATATGCTCAACCTTTTAATTTGTTTACTTTGAAGAGCCACGTTCAACCTTATACAACCTAATACCGAAATTGTGAAAACTGAGCCAACGAGCCCTGGTTTCCCGTAGTGTCAAATTTAATCTAATTTAAGTGGCCACTGCTCCTACTCACCATTATTTTAAACTAGAGCGATAGTTACATTTGATACTATGTAGTGTCAAATTGACACTATATAGTGTCAAATTGACATTGTATGGTATCAAGTTTAACCATTGTTTTATTTTAGTATAAAATAACGGTATATTTAGTAAAAGCAGTGGCGAATTAAATTAGGTCGACACCTTACACGGTCAGTAATGCTACTGATCAGTAATATTAATATAGAATCAGTATGTAATACTGACAGTTCAATATTTTTAGTATTTTTAGAACTTTACGCGATTAGTATTATTGATAATATATTTTACGTACATTACCTATTAATATACTATGACATAAATTATAAAATAAAGATACAATACTGATACTCAAAAATCAAAATGCAGATCGTCGTCTGCAGAAATCTACGTCAATCCATCAATATTAACAGCACATAAATATGAAGAATAATATCGCTAGTATTTACTGATCATATTATTGATCGTGTAAGATCACTTTAAGTACCTGCAGAACGCGAAACATGGAAAATTAAGATTTTCTCGCATTGTGTCTACGACGATTTTTCTTTAAATTGCAGCGTTCTGAAAATTCGGCGCACACACAATGTACTTGAAAGAACAAGAAAAAAAAAGAACAGGACGAAAACAAGTGTACTACAAATGCTTTGAAACGAAATACGTCACCGTCGAAGTGCAAACGTGTGTTGGTCAACTCCACGGCTTGATCGTGATCGTGATCAATATACCTTCGCGAACAATGATTACTTTCGTTAATAAGGAATAATTAAATGGATTATGAAATGCTCACCTCGCAATTGTTCCACCGTGGCATCGCTCAATACCTCCTTCTTCAATCTATTCGCGAAGACACATTAGTTACGATTAAGCTAATCACTCGAATGCAATGATCAAATGGTACTTTGTATAATATATACAATGATGTTCAACTATAGCGCGGAAAAAAGGATTGCACGAAACTACCGGTACATTTAAAACTCCCGACGATGTACTAATAAAACGTCAACCCGTCTAAGATGGCGGAGGGTTGGAGAGAAGGGTACATACATATACAAGTGCGCGTAAAGTTAACTTCACGCACCAAGTGCGACGCAGCGGCACTCCATCCAACTATACCTGTTGCTCGTAAGTTCGCGCGTTCATATATTTCTCAAGTTTTGGACAATAAATAATATACGCTTGTCTCTCATGGCGATTACTATCTCGTGTTTTATGACGTAGCTAAATGTATGAGTCACAATTATAGACAAATATATTAAGTAATTATAATATAAACTGAAATTATAAATAGTCTTTACAGAAATCTATCTAATGAAAACAAAAAAATCAAAATAATGTTATTATTATTTTAACCGATATTACCTTAGGTCCATTTGCCTCCAACAATCTCTGAAAAGTCGGTTGAATTTTCAAACATCTTGTATATTTTAACGGATTATCATGAGCCCGGAATTTATATTGCGCGATAATAAAATACAACAAAAATTAATCCAGTTAAGTTCATATAGATTTTGTTTACCAACGGGTTGTGACCGTTCCAAAGGCGATCCATCCTGTGTCCAATAAAATACGCCGACAACTTCAGCCTGTATCGCGCGGTACATTCAAATTAATGTTTAACAAATACAACTATCTGTCAACTAAAATCTGCAATTGAAATTCAATATTACATGCAACAGAAATCGAAATTTGGTAATCTTAGAAAAACATAATTAATATAAAATCATATTGATAAATAATTAATAAAAATAATAAACAATTAGCATATACGCCTTCGACTGTTTCATTCTATTCTGCAATTTGTGTACTTATATTTTATGCTTCCAATTTAATGTTAATTTTTTGCAAATTTCTTTCCAAAATTTTTCATATTTGCTTTTATATTGCTTTAAATGTTAATCATCTAAAATTTATTGGAAACTCAACTGGAACTCTCTAGAATTCTTTGTGAGAAGACGGTCAAAATTTTTACTTAATTACTACAAATTATATATAACATAATATATACATTATATAGAAATTTTTCTAATTAAAGTAAAGAAATTGCGAATAAATCACAAGCTAATTATCATTTTAGATAGATATACACAAGATATTATTATTTTTTTTATACATAAGTCATTACGTTTCATCAAAGATAATTTTTACAAGAGATTGCGGATGTACCGATAAATAACGATTAATTAATACCGACTATTAATTATTAGTTTGTTATAACAAAGTTTATTAAGCTTTATACAAAGCCAGTGATCGAAAAAGTCGTTAATGAAGTTATCAATTACGTTTTCCAATAATTGAAAAAAACAATTCAACCATATAGCGCGGTGTATTTCGCAAGGCTTTCGAAGGTGGTATCCGATGCGCTTGACAGATAGGCAAAGCTTGTGTTGGTGTAAGCCAATACGATCCGATAGGATGAAATGAAAACACATAAATCGTGAAATTCGCACTATCAAACGCGGCGAGCAAATCGATCGGCAATATATTGCGATGTATAATTTCTACTGCCGTGCAACACGAGTCGTATATAATTATTATCGCCCCCACGCGATAATGAATACACGGGATCGGCAAACGTGGCGAGAAATAAACTTGTGCTGGCGAGAATTGAGAACGAAGATAATGATCGTCCAACGTCGATGTTCGTATACTTTCTAAAAATGTTCCTCACTCCTCTCGGTGTGGGACGACGTAACGTTACGTCGTCGGAGCCTTAATCCGCTAGCGAGATCGTGGATTCTTATCAATGTCTTTCTACCGCGGCGCGGCCCAGGACACCGACGGAGTCGTCGAACAATAGGCAAGGCAGGAGCCACGTAACGTCGAGAGGCGCGAGAGAACGCGTCCTTCCGGCATTTTAATATTCCTCTCGGTATTACACGCGTGTTTCCGCGTGCTTGTGCGCGGAACAATGCAACACACCGTCGACGTATGGTGGGATAAGATGAGAGGTGTGTGGTAATTAAGCGACACGCGCTCCCACGCCCTGGGACATTGGCTCGCTGCACAAAAGCTGCGAAACTGACACCTTAACTTATCGTACGCATCCGTCCTAGTCAAACGACATAATTCTGCATCGTTCCGTGATTAATTCCACTATTATACGAAATCGTAGATGCGCGATGTCGAATGATTTAACCTTCGATATTACTGCCGCTTTCTCCGTTGATCTTTCACCTTTTTGTTAAATGCAACATGTATATAGTTGCACACGAAAATCGATTGAAACTATGTTATACATTCTACATCTCCCTCCCATTCACCTTTTCAATTGATTTTAAAAGCAGTGATTAAACTTGTGGATATATTAATCATACAGGATGCGCGTGACTAACGTTGATATCATTATTAGTTGATATAAATATTTCCATATACATACTGATGCAATCTACGTATAAATAAAAACTATTTTGATAAAGATGATATTGTCTGGCCACGATGCCATTTTTATGACCTTTCAAGCGTATTGAGTTAGTAATACTGAAATGAGTATTATTAACTTACGCTTCATTCGCGTAATATAAAATAATGAGGCTAATAAACATCAAGGATTACTTCACTCCGAGATGTCCGTAATGCGGTCCCGTCGGTAACAATAATCACAGTAGAATATCGCTTTGAAATAATGGAATAATACCGCAGCGATGAAACAGACGGGCGGGCGATGCGAATAGATTTTGGCACGAGTTCGACGAAATTGTGTTGTGAGAAAAACGCCGTTTGCACAAATCACCGTTTAGAGCATCGTTACTCAACGGCTTTGTTAAGAAACGATTTACGCAACTTTTAGAGTCAATGTAAATTATACCACTTACCTTCATGTCCTGCCAGCGCATTAAAATATCATTTCTAAAATAATCTTTATTTGTTGTACAATATACAATAAAGTGATCTTAAACTTTTAGACACATCGCTAGTAGATAGGTAAATCGGACTCACAACTGACTGATGTGAGTGATCGAAAAAACTTCTACTATTTTGCAATTTTTATTGAATACAATATAAATACATGATATACATATAATATAAACGGTAAATTATTTATGTTAAACAGGATTAAATTACAATTGCTTTTTTTTACATCTGGTAAAGTTTACAAAGTTGTTCATTAGATGTTAATATTAAATATTTATATATTCCTAGCAATCTTAATATTATCCCGTAATAGAAATTGATTTAGTATCATCATTAATAATGCCTAATTTAAATCTATTGTAATAATGAACCGCGATACGTTTGACGCGATCGATCTTCTTGTGCTTCATTTCTGAATCGATATCTCCATGATACGTAGGATTCATCGGGCCGAATTCGATCGTTTCAAATTGCTCAATGTCTTTTTCCTCCGCCAAAATCGGATTTACCAAAAAGCATCCAACGAGCAATCCGTAAAGCGCGTAAATTCGCAACTCCGTCTGCAGCCACTCGATTCCGAGCTCCGCTACAATCTTCTCATCTACTTGTAATCGACGGAGTTCATTGATGAACTCATTATGATAGATCTTGATGAGGCTGTCGAAGCTCTTCTCGATTAGCGATGATTGCACGCTGCCGTATATAAAGTAAAGAATGTCCGTGGACAACGAGGTATATCTAATTATCTGATAATCTACCATTTTTACATCAATTATATTGCCGTCGTTGTCGTGCAGGAAGAGCAAATTATTAATCCATGGGTCACCGTGGCAGATCGTGTCGTATTTTTTCTTCGGCGACATAAACAGTTGACGCATCACGTCGTAAGTTTTTTGGAGGCTATCAAAGTAATCTCTAACAATCTGCAATTCCTGGGTTCGTGGCTCTATCGTATTTAAATATTGTACTATCGTTCTCACACACATTTCGGTACACAATCTCATTACTGATGTATCGGAATTGTCTTTATATATTAATTCTTCTAGATGCCCAAACTTGTCAAACTGCCACGGATTGTTCAACTTTAAAGATAGACCCGAAGCGTGTAACTTGGCAAGTCTCTGCGAGAATACAAAAAAATATGTACTACTAGTTTAGCTGAATAATATATTTATGAAATTTTTTCAAAAATAAGGTCAATTAACAATACAAAGTTTTGCATAAAACCGTTATGACTACACAATATAATTAAAAAATGAAGGTCCTAAATGTATTGTATACCACTACTAAATATATACTACTTATAAAATATATATATATATATAATAAATTTATATACTGCTACTAAAGTCAATTAAAATTTGATAAAAATTAAAAATTAAATATCTTTTCAGCACAATTTCTTAAATAAACAATAAAAATACCAATAATGATAATAAAATATTATTTAGCTATTAATTTCCGAACTTTAAGACTTATCTTTGATCCCCAACACGCAATAAAAATTAATATATGAGAAAGAAAGTGTTATCTGATAAAACTTTTGTTAAAAAAATGATTCTACTTTAGTTTAATAAAAAAATTCGAGATTTATTAATGTAATTTGTGAGTGTTTGATTACAAAGGTAGCTTTTGAAGATTTTATTGATATTATTCTCACGCATAAAAGTCTGATAAATATCTATTATAGGTACAAATATCATGTCGTTAATCATGTTAATCTGTGACATTGATCAATCTTTGAAATTCATTCCTGTCTGGATTTACAGATAATACTATAGTCATATTGGTAAATAATTATTGATTATAACCGCGACAAGATAAATGAAGCAAAGGTCTGACCATCATATACACTGCTGCTACTACTATTATTACTACTACTGTATCAATATGTCTAACAACACTTTTACTCGTCCCACATCATCCACTTGAACAAAAGATTATGACCTTTAAAGTTTAATGTCTAAACAGTTAGGTAAAGCAATATCTTTTTTTTATTTCATTTCACTTTGTGGAAAAATTTCTCATTATCTCCTGACAATAAATTATCTACGTATGCTTTCCTTTTAGATGACACACTGTACACAAACGTCGTTCTATCCTTCTTAACATTCAACGAATGATAAAGATAGAACGATGATAATTTTAAATAAGATACCTTTAAAAATTCTTTTAAAAAAATGAGATGTTTCATAAAGAACTCTGAAAAAATATCTTAAAGTTATTTTATGCGTCAATTTTACCTGCTTATTCGGCAATCTTTTAATTAACGAAATATTAATTCGAAAATTTATATTTCGTTAACTATTGAGAAAAATGTAAAATAATAGGATTTTTCAATTTAGATTTTAGTCTGATCTAGTTGCCCACAAGCAGTGTGTTAAAAGTCTGGAATATCTTGTTTCAGACTTTTCATAATTTCTACTAATTTCTAATTTATTTTATTTTATCTAATTGTGAGATAAGATAAGTAGTACATATTCCGGAATCAAATTGTTAACATACCTTTAAGGCGAAGACAGAATGATCTAAGTCCAGAAAGTTACGCCTTTCGCAAATGGCGTATCCTTTTTCTGCCAAATCTTCCATTATTATAATATCTTTATCAGCATATATACATGGAGGGCCAAAAGGTCCAAGATTGGGCAATATTTTTGTATACGCATCTGCCTCAATATTAAATAAATCGGAAAGGTTCAGTAATGTGGAGATTTTCTTATCCTCAATGATCAACTTTGTCATAAAAGTCTTGGCATATGCTACACACAACATGGAAAGAAACATATCTATGTATACCCCTGCTGTATTTATACTTTTTTATTTATTGTGCAATATAACCAACTACTTTGTCATTTTACAGTGTTAGTTCAGTCGTTCGTCCGTCCGTTTGTCAGTCTACAAAATTTTGCAGAAAAATCTTTTTCTAACATTTTGAAATTTTGTTTTTAAGTATAAATATTCAAAGTGCTTAAATCCAATGAAGCAAAATATGAATTAAATCGATTGATAACAATAGAATCAGCTTTAACAAAGTTCTTTCAATAGTTACATGTTTCTCACTGCATTACTTATAATTATTTATATCCATTTCAAAGAGTTTATCTTATATACTAAATAAATACGATATTTTCAATTCATGTATATCAAAATAAAATTTCACAAAGTTATTAACAAATATAATAAGCCATTGTTGTCAAATTCATTTCATAGCGATAAAATTAAAATAAATTAATAAAATTTATGTTTATCTATACTATTTTTTAAATATAAATCAAGTCATTAAAATTTGTTTGTAATATAACTTTTTGATAAAAAAAGATAAAAGATGTGCTTTTTTCTCTTCGCTAAATATTACGTTTAATCTATTGATGACATAACTAATTTTATCGATAATTTGTTCTTGTAATAACTTAAAACTATAAATAAAAACAAGGAAACTAACGACTTCCGTCTCCACGAGTACCAACGAGTTTCGTTCTGATCAACATTGACGTATAATTGTCTCCGGGTTTTGACCCTGGCCTGTCCACGGCCTGCAGAATCACCAACTTGTCATCGTTTTCATACTTTCTTAGATAAGCTTGATACTGTTTTGCCGTGTCTGAAAATTAAGCATACCAAAATAATATTATCTGTAAAAAAAATGCTCGACTTGCAGGTAATGTTACAAATATCTAAGATTTCTATGTCGAAGTATTATTATACATATTTAGTAAAAATAAGATAAGACAAAATGTTAAAATGATTTTTTACTAAACTAACACGTGTATAAGTGTTTGTTCAATAACATTTAATTAATCTCGTAGATATTAGTTCATGGTCACGATACGCAAATTAAACTGACTTTATTTCCTTGTAAAATAATAAAATTAATCATATATTGATTATAAAACATGTTTATATTAATTTTAATGCTTTCATTGATTACAATTATATCATTAAATATTCACTATAATATTACAAGTTTTCAATTTATTTCATATAAATAATATTTTTTCAATACTAGTATAATTAAGTTTTTATAACTGTCAAAATATTTAATATAATTGATTACACACATAAAGATACTCGATGCGATATTTGCTAGAAACAGATTCAAATGTACAATAGATTTTCATTACGGATGTAAATAATTTTAAATAAAGAGAGACGATTTTCAGGTCTCACACACACACACACACACACACACAAAGATCATGAGCTAAGCTATAAGTTACACTTTCTAAATAATATACATAATTAATGTGATTTAATTGGCTTATTATAACAAATCATAATTAATTTGAAACAAGTCTGTCATAATCCAAACAAAAGCTGTGACATAACTTGTGTAAGAAAATCAGTTTTATTAAAAATCTTATTATAGATTTTTTGAAGATTTATTTAGTGCTATAAAAAAAACCCACGGTACAATGTTAACTTTCTTATGTGTTAAATTTCTTTTATTGATTAATGTTATATTAAACTGATTGATGATATACTCTAAAATATATCCGTATAACACTAATTTATTTCCAACGTGGAAACAAATTAACATTGAACTTTAAATAACAAAAATATTACTTGCGATGTTTAGGTATATCAAAAGGAATTATGACAAAACCATGATATTAGACTTAAGATTACTCAATAATTTTTTTCAATATTTTAAAATGTATAAATCCTGAAGAATATATTTGATCCGGTATATCTATTTATTCTATTTTATCGTTTAATCTTTCAATAAAATGCTTCTGTTGACGTAGCATAGTAACAGTAATCGCGTGATATATTCAAATATCGCTGAACTATTAAGATTTTTGCAGACGTCGTTGGACGTAAGAACATTGACGAATTGACGAAATTTTTCGTCAATTCGTCAATGTTCTTAACTTTTTAGTGAAAAAGTTTTAAATTTTATTTTTTATAATTAACATTTAATGCAAAAATCATCTATCTTATAAGACTGAGAAAGCTATACAATTTATAATCACCTTATAAATACTTTTTTAAACTAATTAGAAGATTAATATAATATATTATTAGTTTGCTAAAACTAATATAATTTATAAATTCAATAATATTAATATAACAATTTTATTAAATTTATTA